ACCTGTGTCTTTTAGGCCGACTCAGGAAGTTCATTTAAGTCATTGATCCAACTCAGCATCATTGCTCTTTTAAAAACTTCCTTCATTGTGATCTGCTGCAGGGAATTTGCCTGGGGATGAGTGGGATTTTCCCTCAGACCATCAGACTGTACAAGATGCAGTGGGATTCCCTCACCCAGGAATCACACCACATCAAAACAGTGAGAACACCACAGCAGCGGGCAGGAGATGGCACAGCAGAAGCTGGGGGCGTTCAGGAGACGATCCCCACCCAGTGGACTGTGTCTCTCCAGGATGCACCCTTCAGAGCTTTGCTATCTGGTGGATGGCATTCCATAAGCTCCATGGCTGACTGTGGCTCCTCCTGCATGTCTCTCACATGGGCCTCCTGCATCTGGTAGAATAGTGAAACGGTGTAGGTCCTGAAGACATGAAGGAGGCTGGACAAACATCGAGGATGACAAAGTGTCCTAATGGGATTGGAGCGATCTGACAAAGGAGAGAGCTTGGGTCATGGAGGATGGAACAGTCTCAGAGAAAATTATACAAACGAATATAATTCACTCCATGCAACCAACATACAGCCAAAAAATAAAGAATTTGAATTGTATGAATAAATGAATGAAAGTGCCAATGAATTTAAAAGTAATGACAAAGCATCCGATGTCGAGGCTCTATCAGTTGAATCAGGGTGAATGGGTTGGTGAGTGCACTGGGCAGACCACCACATCTGGGATGCCTGGATCTTCTGCAGCTCTCCAAACATGGAAACTCCAGCTGGTTTCCAGGTGATCAGTTATTGGTTTTCATGTCTAAAAGAAACAGACTCAATGTCAAGCCCCACTGGTCATTGAAAAAAGACGGTTGTTTTTTGTTTTGCTTGTTGTTGCTGTAGGATAAACCTCTCCTGCTTTTGAGGGGTGGTGAAAACATGCAAAAACCACCTTTTTGTCAAACCTCCCAAATTCCACTAGGATCTGACTCTTTCAGTGTGATTACCTCCAGTTGAATTCATCTTCCTGCAAGACACATACTTCATCCTTAGCTACGGATGAAACTGATGCCATCCTGTTTGTAAAACATGCTTCCTTCTCCTGTCTCTCCTCATGGGGTGTCTAGGTTAGTTCCACCACTTTCTTCTCCTGTCTCTGCTTATGGGATGTCTAGCTTGGCTCCATCACTCAGCTGTTGTGAACAGTGTTGTAAGAAACAATGATTGATAACAAGCAAGCCTGGACTTGGTCCAGTCCCACACACTTACTAGCCAGGGGAAGGAAGAAGGCCTGAGCTCTCCAGAAGAGGTGCTTTTAAAGGGAAAAACCACAAACAGGGAGGTACAAGCCTTTGCATCATAAGATTGGGTGAGGATGTGTAACCTTTGAATTTACTGGTTGGGGGTTACAGTTATCATTTTGGGGCAGGCCAGGCTTTGTCCTTGAGCTGCCATGGGAGCTGGCTGGCCTTGTATGTTCACATTGACCCATGCACTTAGCTCTAAGTTGGTGAGGGGTCCCAGACAGTAAACAACTGGCTGAACCTCAGCAGTCAGTCAGAGTACGTGCAGAAAGGGAGCTGCTGCAAGGACTATGTCTTTTGTTCACGGCCCTCCCAGAAACTGCTTGCTTAAACTGAAATTAAGGCCTGATCTCTGAGAGAAGACTGAGTAGCCTGTTTTGGCATCAGCTTGGTCCTTTCAAGACCACACTAGACACCTGCCCCAAGACAGAGGTCTGGGTATACTGCTGTGGGACACCAGGCTGGGGTCCTGTTCCAGGTGTGTGCTAGAGTAAAAGCCTTCCTAATGCTTTCACAGGGTCATTCTCTGGGAATTCAGCCAGCTGATTTTTTGCTTCCAGGACA